TCCCTAAATCCTTGGGTGCTTGTACACCTCCCCGTGTTGGGGCACAGCATGCCCAGCTAAGGCACCCTGCCTGGCATGAACCTGTACCCCCATCTCCCTGATAAGTGCTGGGTACATCGGTGTCCCCACCCCAGTGCGGTGGCCATCAGGGACACGGTGCCCAGCACCCGTCCAGTGGAGAGGCAGATGGACAGGGCTGGGGAGAMGAATGAGGATGATGATGATGAAGGCTCTGCGAGCAGCAGGGAGTGAGTCCTGGGGGCATCCCCAGCTCTTCCCCTSGCTCAGCTGCCCCAGCCTCCCGGCAGTTCCCGAGCTGCCTAATTAGCTCTCCCTGCTCCCAGCGCCGTCCAGCTGGAGCCGGAGGGCAGGGGCAGACAAAAGCCTCGCTATTGACAGCCCCTCCGAGGAGGGGGCTTTTCTTCTCCCCCTCGCTTTTCTTTTCAAGCCCCTCTCCCCCCTCTTGGGCCGGGGCCACGGGCTCATTAGCACTTGGGCTCGTTGGGATGGAGGGAGCAGATGGCAGCCAGGCGGCTGGCGCGGCCGGCCCCGCCGCCGCCTCTCCCCGCGGAACAGATGCCCGGCCAACAAGGGGGAGGATTAACGGGAGTGGGGGGCCATCCGCACAGCAGGGCTGCCAGCGGGGCTTCCTCCGCAGCAGCACACCCCAGCTCCTTGCCTGAGGGCTGCCAGCCCGCTGGGGACGAGCGGGACTCGCGGCCGCCKAAAGGTGGCTGGGAAACCAGAGGTTGGGATGGCCAAAAGTGGCTGCAAAGGCCGCAGGGGAACTGCAGCTGCTTTCTGCCCTCGCTGGSAAACTGAGACCTCTGGCACTGCGGTGCCATGGCTGCTGTCCCAGTGCAGGGGGAGGACATGTCACCCGTGTCCCAGCACGTTTGCGGCAGCACCCACACTCCAAGATCACCCTCAACGGCAAACCAGGGCTTAATCCCACTTCAGCAGCACATCCCTCCCCCTCCGTGCACGGTGCGTGCCGGGGGATTAAGGGTTAAAGCACAAATCCCCGGCGCTGCCCTGATGTGACCCACTTAGACCATCTGGCAGGGAGGGATGCAGGAGCCTCCTTTCCCCCAGCGCTGCCGGCGYTCACTCGGCATCACCGGCTGCCCCAGGAGCTGACACCAGCACCCACAGCCCCAGCCCCARAGTGCTTTTAAAGTGGATTTCGGCTGAGTTTCTGGGGTCGGGGCTGAGATATGGCAGCTCATGCCAACAGCACCATGGCTGGCAGTGTGGCAGCAGAGAAACAAACCACCCCAAAAGCATCCCACAGGTCCCYGGAGTTGCACCAGCTCCAGGCCCAGGGATACCCTGGAGCGTCTCCCGCCTGGCTGTCCCCCAGTCCCGGCACAGTTGCTGATGAAATACGCAGCAGTGATGGGAAAAGTMAGGCTTCCAAGTGGGACAGGGCTCCCAGCCCTGCGCCCTGGCCAAGGTCATGGCCAGGGAAGAGATGCAGACAGAAGCCCAGCCAAGAGGGAGGAAAAGGGATCCTGCTGTGGGGCTGGGGCCAGAGCATGGGACTCATACCCATCTCCGAAGGCTGGACAGAGGCTGGTGGAACCCTAACACCGGAGATTTGAAAAGCATTCTCAGTTCATAAGAGCCAAAGCCCCATCCTTATAGCTCAGTGAGAGGGAGTGAGGGCACCCTGGCTTGGCAGAGGGACTCAGGATAGGGCAGGTGATCCCTGTCTCTGATCCCATCCCTCCCCAGCACACGGGGCACAAAACCCCCTCAAATCCCATGCTGAGATTTTGCATATGCTGGAGCAATTCCCCTGAAAAGGSACATGCTGGGTGAGCCCCAGCCCTTCCCAATCTCCCTACACCCCCCAGTCCCTCGCCCTCAGCTGCACAGAAAAGCCCCACCATGCCCTGGTGGGGAAAGGTTAATTGGAAAAGCCCCTTTCCCCATCAACTCGGTTTTTCCTTTCACTCTGCGAACTGGTCAATAATCCATTTACTTTGGCAGAGCTCTGCTCTGGGCACAAAGCTGTCTGGGGGGCTGGATTTCATGCTCCCCCTGCCCCAGCAGGACCGGGAGGGAAGGTATTAATGTACTCTTTTGTTCCAGGATGAACCGTGGGTTTAGCAGAGCTTTAACCCTCCAAACCTCCAAGAGAGGGAATTTAGATGGAAGAGGCTTTATCTCCAGAACCAGCAGGAAGGTGGTGGTGAGGACTGGGGCAAAGGGAAAAAAAAAAATTACTTTCTGTCCTGTGAACCCTATCACTGCCCCACAGGGTTGCAGGATTGAGCCCTGCCATGCCCAGGGCACCCTGCAGGGATGGCTTTGGGCTATGTGGGCAATGGGCAGGACCCCCCATGCCGCAGCTGAGCCCCTTGGCACTCCACGAGGGCAAAGGCTCAGCCAACAAAACTGATGGGGAGATGGGCAGCACTGGCCTAGAAACCATGGCAGCATCTCCACTGCTGTGGGAAGCACGGGGCTGGATCCAGGGCAGGGTGTTTGCAGGGGACCAGCTGTCAAGTGTGGGAGAAACAGGAATCCAGATGGTCATCTTAATATTTCATTTGGCTAACTGGTCTCCCCATCTCCTCTCTGGTGCGCTCTGCTCGCTGGCATCACAGTCATTCGCTCTTAAATTAGCCGGGAGTATCGTCAGGAAGAGAGGACGATCCAAGAAGTGGCGCAGCRAAACCTTCAGGAAAAACAAGCCCAGAGCGGAGCCGGGCACATCCGGAGAYCGCTACAAGAGGAGCTGCTGCAAGCCTTGGGGCTGTTGTCACCACGGATGGGGAGCGGGAACCTGGCTCTGGCTATTGCTAGGCTACAAACCTGGTGCCAGCTTGGCCACATCACGTCGCACCCCACTGGGGACCCGCTGCAAAGCCCCTGGGGGTGCGAGATCTGGCACCCCAGAGGTGTGATCCTGCCCAGACGACAGCCTGGGGCTACTGGCAGAGCCCTGCGGGACGCCAGCCGAGCCGGCAGCCCTGGAAGGGGAGCCGGGAAGCGCAGTGTGTCTGTCCCTTTGGTGGCGGTCCCTGGAGCAGCAGAGCCCCTCCGTGTCTGGGGACAGCGGGAGCGCACACATGTCCCGCAGAGCCCGGGGCGAGCCCCGCCGGGCTGACCCCGCTCGGCACCGGAGCAGGCGGCAGCACCGCAGGGAACAGCCGCGGGCCCGGCCGAGGGCAGGGAACATCCGCTGCGAGGGGACAAAAGGAGCCGGGCTCCGCCGRCACGGGGAGCTGGCAGCGTCACGGCCGGAGCGCACCCCGGCCTGGGGACCTGCATCTGCTGCTGCCAAGGTGTGAACCAGAGCAAAGCCGAGCTGGCCGAGCCCTTCTGCTGCGTGCCAAGAGCTGCTGGRCAGTTTCCCTCCCACCGGAGCTGTCACTGCCAGCAGTACTGAGAGGTACACACGTTTGGGAACTTTTTAATGGATCTTCCAACACCCCGAGCCGCGGTGCTCAGCCCCACCAGGATGTCTGCTGGTTAGATAGAGCCAGGCATCATTCCTAGCACCCAGGCTGGCTTTATTTCCCCAATACCCCAATTTGCTGCCATATTTCATCTCCAGATACAAGATATTTAAGCAGCACGGCTCACTGAGGCACCTTCAGGCAGGAGTGTGTGTGTAAGCCAGCACCCAGCCCTTCAGGTGCCGACCACCCCTGCAGGGATGGAGAAAAACACGGTGCTTCCTCTTCCCCACAAAGCTGAAGCCCTGCAAACGCTGCCTATGGAAACAAGAGGTGCTCTTCTCCGCTGAAAGCCTAAGCCRTGCCTTTCCCATTTTCCTATCCAGATTAATGGAAATCAGAGAGATTGGAAAAATTCATCCTCAGCAGCTGCACGGGGCTGCAGGGACAGAAATGACCCCCACACTGCACAAGTGGCAGGACTCCTGTCCCCACTGCTGCTGTGGCTCACAGCTTCCACTGGCACGGGAAGCACCCGAAAGGACTCGTTCCAAAGGATTTCTCTGCTCCTCGGTACAGGCTGAGCCCCTGACACCCAGCCTGCTGCAGACCGAGCCCCTCTCCTCTACAAACCCATCATCACCAGGGAACTTTGGCTTGTTTCCCACACCAGGTGGGCAGMGGAAAAACAGAGCAAAGAGAGAAGAGCCAGAAGAAGCGCCCTTTCCTTATCAACACAGCACAAACAGGGTATTTTTAACCAATATTAAGACAGTCAGCAAAATAAAGCTGGTCTGAATTAGAGTGTGCATGGCTGTGAGGAAGGCACACGGACCCTTGCCCGTGTGACAGCCTGGCTGAGTGGCTCAGAGGGCACCTGCAGCACCCTTGCCTTGTTTCGTGGATTTCTCTGTTGCTCAGCCTCTGGCAAACATGGGCCACCGACTTTCCTAGGGCAGGAGGGCAGGGCTGGTACTGGCTGAGCAAAACCAGGGCTGCTTGGCTGTGGGACGTGGGGGACACCATTCCCGGAGCTGCCCCGGTCCGTGGCAGTGTCCAGGCTCCTGGGGCTGCGCGTCCCCAGGGGGCCACCAGCCTCCCATCTGTGACAAGGCTCCAGCCATAGCAGGGCTGTCCAGCCCTTTCCAGGCGTCGCCTTCCCGAGGGTCCCAGGGGAAGGACCGTGCAGAGACAAGATGACCAGCAGGACCCGCACCCCGAGCTCTGCACAGTGGGGATGGAGCTGGTGACACTTTCCGGCCGATGCCCCCCACCACTGCCCCGCTAGAGCTCTCCAGACCCTCACCCTGCTCCCCTTGGGGCTCAGCCAGCTCCCGGGCTCCAAGCACCACCGAGRCAAAGTTCCAAACCGGCTCTGCTCTGGAACGCAGCACCTGCCCGGGGAGGGGGCTCAGCCAGCCAGCATCCCCCAGCCCCGGGCATGGGGASGGTTCCCCGGCTCCACCAGCCGCTAACTGCTGTTGGTGGGGGGACACATTCCCGACCTTCTTTATGGTGGGAAGGGGGCTGGAGGCGGAGAAGGACGCGGGGTCGCCAGAGCCCCCCCTCCCGTGCCCCGGCAGCCTTTACCTGGGCAGCGGCTTGCGGGCGGTGATGCTGGCAACGATGATGCTCTCGGGTCGCGGCGTGGCCACGGCTTTGAAGGTGCCTCTCCAGAACTTCTCAAAGAGCTGCTTCTCGCCCTGCTGCACGCCGGCCATGGCCCCCGGTCCCCCGGCCAGCCCCCGGCCGGCCCCGCCGCTGTCCGCGGTGCTGAGGGCTACATCCCCGGCGCCACCCGGCGCCACCCGGCCCGGCCCGCAGCCCGGCCCGCTGCGGGGAGTGCGGCCCCGGCCGCCCCCGCCTTCCGTTTTGTGCCGGCGGGGCGGGCAGAGGGGCCGGACCCGCCGCCGTCCCCTCCCCGGCACCGCCCCCGCCGCAGCTGCGCCCGGAGCGRCGGAGCAGAGCCCGGGGAGGGGGCGGCTCCGGGGGACCCGCGACCCCTCTCGGGTCGGGTCCGCTCCCCTACACCCTGCTCACCCCCACCAGGTGACTTCTGGGGGGCTTCCACCCCCTTCCAGCCCCCAGGACCGTCCTTGTTCCATCCCCATCCTATCCTTCCAGCTCGTGCTGGATCGGGGACGCCGCTGCACTTTGCCCGTTGCGGGGCACAAACYCTCCAGGGCGGTGAGTCCCCGTCCCCCCTCAGAGGCTACCAGTAGCCTTCATGTTTGCCCAGTCCCAACCAGACCCAAGCAAAGAAAGGGAGAGCCCGGAGCCACCAGCTGAGAGAGAAGCAGCAGGAGGCTGTGGAAACCACTCTAACTCATCCACGCCGAGATCCATATGGGACAGAGATTTTGGAAAACAACCCGGTTTCTCCCCGCTCCTTCCCTTTTAACTGGGAAGAGGCAGGRATGGAGCATGCAGTTCCTTGGCTCCAGTGCAGTGGCAGGCTGGGAATCCCAACCAGCACAGAAGACAATTCCTCACCTTCCAGGGCAGGATTTGACCCGCCGGGACCGGACGCATGGGGAGGGAAGAAGGGCTGGGGCGGTGCAAGTGCAGCGCTGCGATTTCCCTCAGCCTCTGCGCTGAGTACAATAAAAACGTCTTTAGGAGAAAACGCTTCTTCTACCAGATGCTTTGAAGCGCAAGTAAAAGCTGGTGACCTTGGATGAATGAGACTCTCTCTATTGTGCCTCAGAAACCCGCATGATACGTTTATGTAAGCGGCGGGGGGATAATGGAGCCAGGAACAATAGGCGGTGGGAGTCGGAGGAGAAGGAAAACCATGGGCAAACTTAATCGCCTCTTTGCGACAAACACTAAATTAGCAGGGGGCTCGTTCTGGCGGCGTTCTTGGCSAACTCCTCCTTCCCTGCCMCGTTKTGCTTTGTGTCCCCTCCGTGCCGCYGGGGTCAGGAGCGGTGTCCCCGCTCCGAGTGTCGCAGCAGCGGCGGCACGCGTCGGCCGGGCTTTGTGCCGCCAGGCCACGGGCGGGGAAAGCGGCGGCAGCGAGCGCGGGCATGGATCCAGCAGAGCTCACAGAAACACCGGCAGCTCTGCCAGACAATGCCCACAAACCCGAGAGGGAAGGACAACATCCACGCACGGCGGAGAGATGCTCGCTGGGAGGCTGCTCCCCMCGGGAAACCGCCCAAGGGCGATGCCTGGGAAAGGCCGGCTGAGAGCTGCCTGCTCTGTGCTAGCCTGGGGCACGCTGCACATGCCGTGGGCAGGAGATGGCAGAGCGGGATCTTCCGGGGACTGTCACAGTCAGAGGGAGCAGGAGAAAGGGCTTGAGAGGTCCAGAGCTGCCACACTGTGAAAGCACGGCTGAGGAGGGCACACACAGCAGCCCGAGGACAGCCACCGCTGGCCCAGCGCTCTTCTCCTGCAGTGGGGCAGGGACAGGGACTCTCCACCTAAAAAAAATCCAAGCTGGGTTTTCCTTCTGGCCCTTCCAGTCATTCCTACAGCACACAGGCCGCTCATTAGGAATATTCTTCCCCTTCAGAGCACGTTAAACTCGGTAAGCAGAGATCAGGTGTAATTACACGCACACCCCAGACTTGCTCTGATCTCTCAGTGAATGACCCAACGTGGGGTGAGGGTCAGGCAGGAGCCCCACGGCACCGCCAGCCCCAACCTTCCGCTGGTGTCTACCACCACACACCCTGCAAGGCATCAGCATCCCCTGGGCTTTCTGGATGAGTCCAACCACCCCCAGCGGCAAACAGGGTCCCTGTGGCACTTCAGGGCATTTCACCCCCTTCCACCAGCGATCCCAGAATGGCTCTAATCGCCCTAACATTAACTCCCAAATAAAAGGAATAATAAATGTTTGCACTATTAAATTAGCAGCACGGGTGGTGTGTGGGCAGGAGGAAGGCTGCGATCATTACAAGAGCCCTCTCTCCTGGCGTACCTTGTGGAGACATCAGTGAGCCAATTAAGCAATTGGCTCGGTTAACAGAGGCTCCCAGGAATAGACTTGCCTGCTATAGAATAACTGCGCAGTAATAAATTGTCTCATAAATAAACAGCCTGAGAAAGCATTACAAGATACCCAGGAAAAGCACTATATCATGAGCAGCAACGATGCTGGGCGTTTCTAGCGTGTCTGTTAACCCGTGGCATTGCCAGCACTTTTCTGAACAGGGGTTGGTGTCCCTGTGGGGGCTGTGGGACCGGTCCCATTGTGGTGGACACGGCCGTAGCATCCCTGGAGCCCCCGCAGGTGCTGCCCACCGTGTGGGATCTCTGTTTGCCAGCAGCACAGAACCCCAGCTCCTCAGCCCCTGGGAGTGCCATAAATGCCACCCCGGGTTATTTACAGCTCCAGCAGTAACGTGGGACTCTGACAGGTTCAAATGTTTGCAATAAACTGCAGCAGAGTGAGTCCTGGGATGGGAACTGGGAAACCGGGACTTAAAGGATAACTGCACATTTTCCTGCAAAGCAGAAAGTAATGATACAAGAAAATATGAACGTATAAAATAAAATTAAAAATACAAAAATTGTCTTCCTCAAAAAGCTCTTCTTTCATTATTTGGGGTCTTTCTGACTGACACAAAGGGCTTCCCCCTTATACATGGGGGGCTGCATACCAGGCTCTCCCGGGGCTGCCGGCCCCCAGCCCTATTTGTTGCACCCAGCTCTGCAGCCCTACAACCCCCTGCACCCCACAATTAAACACCCAGCACCCTCTTGCCCTTCAAAACCACCCCTCAGAGTCCAAAATCCACTGGGAAATGGGAGAAAGACCKACCTGGTTCAGGGACAGGGAAACTCCAGCCATGCCTCCTCCTGCTTTTCCCTCTGCCACATTTAAAGAGCCCCATCCCCTCATCCCTTCCCACACCCAGGCTTKGATTTTGAGGGGATGGAGAGAAGAGAGGGGTCCCTGCTCTGGTGAAGAGCCCACTGTGGGYGTTGGGCTGCTGTTGGGGAGGACAAGCCCGAGGGAAGCAGGGATCAGYAGGAAGAAGCTGTCTGTGTGCAGGAGGTACACGAAGGGAGGGAAAGGAGAAAATGTGTTTAGCTAGGATTAAGTTTTAATCTGTTCCCCCTCGTAGAGAGAAGAAAGCTGGGCTTGTCCTGGAGCTGCACAAATATTTTTTTCTATAAATGCTGAGGGCTTTTTTGTTTGTTTTTGGTTTTTTTTCTTATTTGGCTTGTACCCGACGGGAAGAGCCAGAGCCCGGTTTTGCTCAATCCACCCCATCCCCACCTCCACGTGCCATCGGCATGGTCCCACCCCACWCATTCCCCAGCTAAACAGGTTTATTGGCAGGGCAGAAAAATCAATAATTATCTCTGGAAGTATTCATTATCATCAAGAGTCAATAAACAAAGGCTGCGAGTGCCCTCTGCTCGTGGCACTCCAGAAGCATCTACCAATTACTGCTTTGACTCTGCCAGCCCTGCCTGGCAGGAGGGGCATCCTCCATTGCCCCCTGCAGCACGGTGCCTGCTTTGGCCAGGCAGGGGAGGAAGAGGAGGGGTGATGCTGTGCTCTGGAAGCCGTGGCAGACSTGGATGGATGCCCAGCTGGTTCAGCCATGGGCCTGCCCCGGTGGAGGATGTTCAGTGGGGCTGGGTCCGGGATGGTTTTCCAAAAAGTGGCACGGAGTGAGGGGGGAGTGGGCTGCAGGGCGGGGAAGCAGCAACAGCCACGGGACGATGTGCACCGTGTGCCAAGTTCTGCTCCCGTGTTTGGATCCATAAAGGATGAGGGTGCCCATGTCCCCTCCATCAGTGCCGGCTCCACCGTCCCCACGCAGGGAAGAGGGAAACCTGTGGGGTTTGAGTATGAAAAATCCTGATGGGAGTGGGACCAGCCCAGGGTGTCACCTCCAGGAGGTGGGACACCCCTGGGTCTCAGGATACCCCTCATCCTCTCCAGACGGACACCAGGGACCTGCCAATCCCCTGTGTCCCCATCCCCCGGACCAGGCGTGTCCTACCCCGGCTGTGCTGGCCTCCGTGGAAGCAGCCGGGCAGGAGGGGGCTCTGCAGCTCACCTGCCCACGCGTCTGCTCCGACAAAAACCCTTTTCCCTCCCTGCTCACCCACCAAAGCCGCCCGACCCCGATTTTTAGGCAGTGCAAGATAATAAGGCGCGGGGACAGAGCAGTGCCATTCGCAAAGCCATTCGCAGCCGCCGGGAAGAGGGAATGAAAGGAGCAGAGGGAGGCAGGGAAGCCACACCACGTCCTTTTCTTCCCTTTGGCTCTAAAAAAGCCCCAGACCGGAAAGGGGGATGGAGGGATGAAGCTGAAAATATGATTTTTCCCCTCTGAGTGGCAGCGGCCGCGGCGGCGAGCCGGCCCCCGGGGACCATGCGGCAAAGCTGCGCAGCCGCCGCCGCYGCTCTCCAAGTGCCACCGCCGAAAGGTCACACTCAGCTGGCACAAGGGGACGGAGGGGACAGAGCCCGCAGCCACGTGTGTCCGGCCAGAAGAGGCAGGGCCCGGCTTTCCAGGCCGGGAGCAAAGCCCCTCCAAAGGCAGYCCCCGACCGCAAGCAAAGGATCCCAGCGGCCCGAGGATGTGCCCYGAGGTGGGGAGAGCAGGACTGCTCTCCTCTCACTGCCCTCCCTGCTGGCAATTAGCAGCCTCCAATCACTCGAACAGCACCGCTGCCTGCTGGAGTAATTAGCGGCTAACGAGGTGGAGGCAGCTCGGTCGGATCGCAGCCTCCAGCTCGGGTCTGG